ACCGCAACACAAGCGAGACGAGTTGGACCCTTCCTAAAGCAAAAGGAGGAGCAGAATTGCCCACGGGGACGTGAGCGTCCCCGACAGAGGAAACGATACAGAGTAAAATCCATTTGTGTTGCTTAAGTTTCATCGGTTCATAGAAGCAAAAGGGAGGCGAATGCACTTAAATAAGGCAGAGAGGTCGAGCCAGACCTGTCCGCCGCTTGCCGGCCCTGACCTCCCGTTTCTTGACGCTTAAGTTAGTTGAGTAGCGACGCAATGGCATACGCGCTCTTGCCGCTGCTTGACAAGGAGCTCGTCGTCTCTTCTGTCTGCTCCACCTTGACATTTCCCTGGTCCTTAGCCAGCGACAAGAGCGTCTCGACGACGTTGGGGTCGGTCGATGACGAACTGTCTAAGGTTGAAGTTGAAGTGGTGTCAGTTGGAGGCGTTCGATCGCCGGTGAGGTGAAGGGCGCAGAATCCGCCCTTCTTGGCCCGCGCCGAGCACCACGACAGGCTGCAACGGCGACCTCCACCGTGACTGTAGCACAGACCGCCGCTCTCAGAGCTGCTCTTACAGCCGGCGATACGGCAGCGACGGCCGCCTCCGTGACGCTTGCACAGGTCACGGCTCACGCTTCCATTGTTGCATCCGTCCACGCGACACCGACGCCCACCGCCGTGACTGTAGCAGAAGCCACGACTCCGCGAGCTGTTCTTGCACATGGGGAAGTCGCACTTCTTGGGAAAACAAGCGCGCTTATTGCTGCTGTGCTTGGCTGTGCCAAGGTCACTCAAACGGGGAAATGATAGTGTCAATAGACTGTTTTGCGGCACTTTGTCCTGACTCGAAAGCATCATGGTGGGGGCGGCAGCGGCTGGAGGGGGTAGCAGCAACCCGCGCGTGGGGGGCGACGACTCGTCGAACAGCGCGCTGTCATTCGAACTGGCCGCGGTTTCGATAATAGGAGGTAGAGCGAGAGAAGCTTCCCCCGAGAGACACGTTTGAGGTGGGGCTTGCTGGTGCAGCAGGTAGATCCACGTGCTCTCCTGCTTCTCAAATTCGGCCGACTGCTTTGTGCGCATTGCTACCAGACACTTGGTCTCCAATACAAGCTTGAACAGGACGCGCGACCTGTGGACGAGTGCACAGGTTGGCAAATGATGGCCAAGCGCTGCTGGCGCGAGTAGGATGAGTGTGTCGCGACAGGGGGAATTAACTTGAATTGAGTATGCACTCGTATACAGGTTGGAACCCGGGAAAGAAGCTTTTTTGGTCCACAAACTATACTTGCCTCCAGTATAAACGAGAGGATCGGGTAGGAGCCGGATGCGCCTGTAGATGAGCGAGGACATAAAAGGGAATTCGATTAGTGCGTATTCCGTGTGCCTTAAACATTTATTCGCTACGACTACATAATCTGGCACTACCGTATTAAACGTATGAGCGCTGAACACAGCCAGCAGACATAGGACAGCGACCAAAGCCAGACACGATTGTTGATAAAGTGAGTTGTAGTTGTGGATGTGTGACGCGAGGGCGGAACCGAAGCGCAGCTTCGGCACTGTGTCGCAGTGTCTTGCTTATTTTAAAAACGACCCAGTGCGCTAATCTGCGGGATTAGCGCTAGGTGACTGATTTGGTATGAACAGAACAGCGTACAGTAGACGAACTCGTTCTTCGTCCAGTGGAGAGTCTCCACTGATCTAAAGACTGCCACAACCGCATCAGGGATGGGAGATAATCAAGGCCCGTTATTAATATTGTTCTTTTCAAGGTAGATTGAATAGTGCTAGCGTTAGAAAGCACTCTGTGGTGAGGGAAAACCATGACCAACCAAGGCGATGTTGGTCTGGACTAAAAGCCTCCTAAACTACGACGCTACAGTCACCATCTAGAGATGCTTGTTCGGCTTGTGCACGCTGAAATCCAACACTCCCCCGCAGCGAGCACTCTCATCTTCGTCAGCTTCGCTGCTAGCAGAACGAACATCGTTAGGTCTATCGACTCCATTTGCATTCCTGCAAGATTGCCATTCGCTCTACAGCGAGTTTCCATTCGCACACCAGCGAGGTTATCATTCGCATTCCAGCGAGCTTGCCATTCGCACACCAGTGAGATCCCCGTTTGCTGTCCAGCAAGCTAACCATCTGCACTCCTGCGAAATGACTGCTCGCAGCTCTTCCAAGCTTTACTTGTTGCTCTTACCGCGTGATGTTGCTTTACCTTCTCGATCTTCATCGACAGCTCGCTCCCCCGCATCCGCGTTGACCTCGATCACTCCAAGCTTACCACGCAGCAGCCCGAAGTGGTCTTTGCCCAGTCCCTTCGTGAAGGTATCAGCAACGTTTTCCTTTGACATCACGTACTTGAGAGCAATATGCTTTGCTCGAACATGCTCCCGAATGAAGTGATACCGTACGTCGATATGCTTTGTTCGCGAGTGCTGGGTGGGATTCTCTGCTATAGCAATACATGCCTGGTTGTCTTCAAATATCGATGTCTCCTCCTGCTCATATCCAAGTTCAGAAAGCAACTGTCGAATGAAAAGAACTTCGCGGGTACAGTGGGCGAGCGCGATGTACTCAGCCTCCGCTGTTGACTGGGCAACAATGCGTTGCTTTCTGCTGCTCCAAGTAACTGCACAATTACCAATGAAGGTAACATATCCCGATACAGACTTTCGCTCATCTTCGTCAGCAGCGTAGTCAGAATCGGAATAAGCTGATAGTCTGACGTCGGACCCACTGAACTCCAAGCCGTGAGCTGTAGTTCCTTTGACATACTTGATAATCTGTTTCACAGCTTCCCAGTGTGGTTTAGCGTAAGCATTGAGAAATCGGCTCACGTCTTGGATAGAGAAGGCAAGTTCGGGCCTCGACCCGATCATCAGATACATCAGGCTTCCAACGGCTTGTCGAAAGGGTTTCGTTGCCATCTCACTCATGACATCGCCGGTTGCATCAGCGCCGTTAAGCTTTCGCAGCTTCTTCCCTGGTATCGATGGAACTTTAGTAGCGAACGCGTGCTGCATGTTGAACCGATTTACGATGCTGTCTGCGCTTAACTGCTGATTGATCCAGAGCTTTCGTTGTCTCCTGTCACGGACTACTTTAATCCCCACAATGTAGCTGACGGGGCCCATGTCTTTTGCACGAAATGCTTTTTGGATGCCGGCCTTCATTTCAGCAACTTCACCCCGAGTCTTAGCAATCAGCACCAAGTCATCCACGTAAATGGCTACAATTTGCGTCTTGATGCCTATGCTCCGAGCAAAAATGCAGGCTTCACACTGCAGAGCTTCAAATCCAGCAGTGGTGAGGTACTGCACTAACGCCTTGTGCCACGCTCGGGGTGCCTGCTTGAGGCCATATAGGGTTTTGAGTAGACGGCACACCAGACCTTCTTGACCGGCAACTTTTAGCCCTTGTGGGAGTTGCATGTACACTTCTTCTTCTAGCACACCGTTCAGGAAAGCGGTCTCGATGTCCATTTGATCACATTCCAAGTCTTCAATGCACACAATTGCAAGCAGCACTCTGAGTGATTCCAAACGCACCACAGGTGCGAAGACGTCGTCAAAGTCGATAAACTTAATCTGCTGGCACCCGATGACAACTAAGCGAGCTTTGTATCGCTCGAGGGTCCCGTCACTGTTAAACTTTCGTTTAAACACCCACTTACAAGCTAGAGCTCGCTTGCCTGCTGGAAGTTTAACTAGTGTCCACGTCTTGTTCCTTAGGAGCGACGCTATTTCTGCATCAGTGGCTTCTCTCCATCTTGCCGCATCAGGTCGTGCCATTGCTTCACGGTAAGTTGCAGGGTCAAGGCCCATACCGTGAGCAACCGCAGCACAAAGCGACTCCTTGTACTTCAGATTTTCGAGTGCCACAAGGAGCTCAGCCTGTTTCTGCTTACGAACGGCTCGGATGATTGGATGGACCGATTCACTGGTAAGCGCTTGTGGTCCGACCAACGTTTGAAGCCATGAAGCGGATGACGATGCATATGCGCGGAGTTGCGGCCATGTCGTCGAAGTATTGACCGAGTCCATGTCAAAGCCAGCAACGAAGTCTTCGAGTAGTACTATGTCATTGGCGGAAGGCTTCTCTTCGGTGGGGCGTTGGCTGTAGAAGAGCAAGTCAACCTCAGATGTCGCGGTCCGAGAGTAATACTCAAAATCCATGGAGTGGTGTGAAGCCAACTTGCGGAACTCCTGACGCTTGAGATCGCGAGCTGCAGCAGAGCAGCTTTCGTCAAAGGTTACATGAATGGACGATATGATGGCACCTTGGTTGCAGTCGAGAATCTTCCAGCCCTTTTGGTTGGCGGCGTAGCCTACAAATACGCCTCGAACAGCTTTTGCGTCAAGCTTCTGCCTCTTGGCACCGGCACGTCCCTGTGCATTTGTCTTGGACGCCACGTAAACGTATGCGAGAGAGCCGAAAGTCCGAAGGTTGCTGACATCAGGAGGATGACCGTGCCATCGTTCGTATGGAGTCACACCAATACCAGAGGCGAGAGTCCGATTGTATGTGTAGACCATCGCCAGAACTGCTTCTCCCCAAAGCTGCTTCGGTGATCCACTGGAGATTAGAATCGTCCGAACTTTGTTGAACAGAATACGGAAGCGAACTTCAGCCATCCCGTTTTGCTCCGGTGTGTACGCGATTGTGGTTTCGCGTTGAATCCCATGGTCACGACAGTACTTGACGAATGCACCATCTAGATACTCGCCACCGTTGTCGCTGACAAAGCGTCGAAGTGATCGATTGTGCTTCGTCTCTACTGCCGCCTTGTATTCCAAGAAGCATTGGAACATCTCCGATCGTTTTCGCAGCAGCCGCACAGTGCAGTATCGCGAATAACCATCGACAAAGAGTAACACATATCGCTCGAGCTTGATTGATGGCAATTCGACAGGTCCAGCGATGTCGCTGTGAACAACATTATTGCAGCCATCCAGGTCAACTCGCGGCTTTATTTTGAACGTCGCGCGGCGCTTCGTACCCAGCTCGCAGGCATCACATGGTGAATTATCCTGCTCCGGTTTGAACTCCATGCCACTGGCCAATTTAGAAGACGCCATCTTGCGAAGAATCTGCTTGCTGGTATGCCCGAACCGTTGATGCAGGAGATCCAGCGTCAGCTCCGGTCTTACGGCGAGAGCTGCTGCTGCTGGGCGGGCCGAATGCAGGACGTACAGCTTATTGGTAGCGCGACATGTAACTTGGCGGTGATCAAGTGACATTGTCACGGAACCCGGTCGCGTATGAAAGTCAAATTTCGCCCCTCCTTGCGCCGCTTGGTACACAGAGAGTAAGTTCATTTCAAGCGCCGGCACGTAGAGGACTTTGTGGAGCCTGACTCGTTCGTTATGGCCGTCGTTCATTTGCACCGTGAGCAGCACTGTACCAACCCCTTCTACAGGAGTCATTGTAGCCGTTGCCACGCGAACGTTTCGTCCAGAGGCCGCTTCAAACTTCTCAAAGAGAGACCGGTCGGACGTCATGTGTTGGGTACACCCCGAGTCGATCACCCAAGGAATAAACACACTATCCGCGCTTGTTTTCGCAGCATATCCTGCGACTGCCGCCAGACCCCATACTTCTCCTTCGAGTGCCGGAGATAGTTGCTCTGTCCGCTCGGCGGCATTGGCGGCGGGGCTTGCAGGCGCCACAGTTACCGCTGCGTGTCCGGTAGAACCTTGTTGCTCCTCCGGAACACCACGTTCTTGGAGGTGGCGAAGGCGAAGCCGACAGACTTGTTTTTGGTGCCCCCCTTTGCCACAATAGAAGCATGTTTGCCCGTTACTCGACCGCGGTGGGTATGGCGTCGATCGATGGGATTGCGTGCGTCTCGAATTGAGGTGACTCTGGCGTGCTGCAAGTAAGGCCTCCGCCATCATGTAGACCTCGTTTTTCAAGACAGCGGGTACGGCCGTTTCTTGAACAACTACTGGAGCCGTTTGGGCTTGGCGTCTCGAGAATTCGGCCATAACGTTGCCTTCCATTGTTGCCCATGGCAGTGGGCGGTCTTGTGTAAAGTATACACTTTTGAAGTGGGACCAGGACTCGGGTAGACTTGTCAAGAGTTGGCACACTCGTTCTTGGTCATCAACGGGTTTTCCTTGGCGGGCTAGTTTGTCGGCTAGAGTCTTTAGATTGTTGAGGTGCGTAGTCATTTCTTGTCCGTCTTCGTACTTCAGCGATATGAAGTTCTCACGCATTGCCACTAGGTTCCCCCAGTTTTTGGCCTCATAC